ATGTTTATCTTCAATATTTAACAATTTGTCCTTAAACTTTTCCACATTTGATCAGTGACTTCAAATAACTTAGCTGCCCAATTCACAACAGATAATTCTTGTTACATTCCTTCAAAATTTGCTTTTTTTGAACTTCGTAACCAAAATATCGTTATTCCTCATTTCCATATGCTGCAAAACATCAAGCCTAATAGACCAATGATCATTTGCACACAGATGTTCCCCAAGTTCCACCCTCTTAACTATTTCTATATTAGAAGTTGACACTAAATCTAAAATAGTATTGTTTCTAGTAGGTTTCTTGAACAATTGGTGAATAAAACCATCTTGAACAGTTTCCAAAACCTTTCTCCCTCATGGTTTGACTCCAGCATTTCCCTATCTATATTCCTGAAATTCAAATCACCCATAATTATGACCTCATTAACAGCTGAACTCTTAATCTCACTGTAAAGTTTCTCACTAATTTCATCAATATCATCTGGTTGTCTGTAACAAATTTCCACTAAAAGTCTTTTCCCTTTATATCTACTTATAGAAACCCAAAATTGATTCAATCTCCTTGCTATTATCTTTGATATCCTCAATTTCAACAGGATTTACATATAAAGCCCCTCCTCCCCCTCTTTTTAGTACTGTTTCCTTATATATAAGCTCTAACCCTGTATTTCAAAGAAATCTCTGTCATCAAAACCATTTACATTTAACTATGTTTCAGTTATTCCAGTTATATCAAAATCCCCCATTCCTACCAGTACCCTAAAGACATCCTTATACTTCTAGCAATACAATAGTAATAATAAAGTCTATCCTTAGAACTACTTCTATACTTATTTCCTATGCTGAACTTTTCCCTACATTTTTTTTTTTACATTTAGTTTATCCTGACCTCACCACTTTCTTGTTCTTGTTTAAATCTTCCCTTACAGCTGAGTTAATAGCCTTTACAAAAAGCCGAACCCTATCATATTTAAATGTAAACCATCCATTCCCAAAAGCTCCCTTCTCCCATTGAACTGATTTAACTAGTCCAACCAGCCTATCTTTTCATCTTTACATATTAACCTATGACTAGCATTTAGCTCTATTGAACTACTCATAATTTCATCCCCACAATTAATTCTCGGCAGTATCCCTGACACAATTAAATTGTGGTCTTTTTCTTTAATTGCCTTTATCAACCCCTTGTACTTATTAATTAGCTCCATTGACCTATCTTTCCCTACATCATTAGTCCCTACATACACATCAAAAATTGCATAATTGCTAGCCCCTTTTATTATATATCTTGCTCTGTCAGTTATATCCTCCATCTGTGTCTTTGGGTAGCATAATCTAACTCTTTTTCTCCGTAATTACTCCACAAATCTCCTATCCACATACCTTGTCAAGGAATTACCTCTAACTATAACTTCCTTATGTTCATCGCCCACATTTTCCTCTGATCCTTTTGTTTTTCTCAAGATAGAAATGAGAGGTTAAACCTTTCACTAGAAAAAGGAACGGAGAGATATTTCTGAAAGTAAAGTACGGTGAAGGCTTTGTTAGTAAAGAAAAAAAAACGCTAAAATAATCATTCAGTACAGAAAAAAACGGTGTAATGCTGTTCATAGTAAAAGAAACGGTGAAGTCGCTATCAATTTATGAATTTACGGTGAAATCTCTCTCTGTTAGTAGAAAAAAGAACGATAAAATCTCTGTTAATAAAAAAAATAACTATGAAAGCTATCTGTCAGTAGAGAAAAAAATGGTGAAGCCTCCACCGAACTTTTCTCTACTTGCAGAAGTTTAACAGTTCTTTTCTCTACTGAAACAGAGGCTTCACCATTTTTTTTCTCTACTGAAACAAAACCTCTATCAGTAAAAAAGAACGTTGAAATATCTGTTAACAGAGTAAATAACGATGAAATCTCTGTTTCAGTAGAGATAAAACGGTGAAATCTATCTGTTAATATAGTATGTTCTCTAATCAATAATTTTTTTATTTTGTGATATCTATTCCGTATATCTGAAATCTCGAAGTATATCTACAAACAGAGCGGTAGCTGCCTTCAGATCCATTAGGTAGCAGCCTTCAGATCCATTAGGTAGCAGCCTTCAGATCCATTTTGTCTTCACAACCTTTTATCAGCACAATTCAACACCTTCTTTGTAAATCAGTACAGAAAAAACTGAAATTATGAAGAATCTATTCACGTATAAGCACATAAGTAGATGCCTAGCTAGGGAAAATAATCCTCACATCATTTCCTTCGTAGACTATTAAAACCATTTCATAAGGTCCATTCTTTCTAAAGCTTGGTACAAACTGTCCAAATAGTAAGATAAATATTATGTGCCATAATTCATAGCTATTTTGGCTATACCAATTCAAACCAAGTAGTGTGCCTACTTCCATTTTCACCTCCTCAAATGAAGAACAATATCGAAAAGAATAACATAATATTCGAATTTTTAGAGTATAAAAAACCGGCATAATAGAAAAGTTGTTAGAAAAAGTGGTCTTGGAAACACACGGGAACATCTGTGCCAGACATCATTCTTTCGTTTGATGAAACGTTAATAAAACCGGATTTTAGAAAGATATATTTTTTATTCTCTTACAACAAACTAGGAAGAAATATCTACATATAGATGGAAAGGACTTACAACAAACATAGATCGTTTCTATAACTGTGTTTTGAGCTGTTAGACGCTGCCTTCCACGTTTTTATCTGTCTAGAGATTACATAAATAAAGCTAGAAGGATGACACGGTTCTAAATTCATGTACAGTTATGATAAACACATCAATAATCAGGTCCAGGATAAATAAATTAGTTTTACTTTGAAAAACTGGTTTGTGATTTATCTGAATAAAACTCTGTATCAAAACAATTCTTATAGTAAACGGTTAAATATATATATGTATTGATTCTTTATATCGTTGTATTTTGTATGATAATCTGCAGTATCACATAACTCTGACATTTAAAACATATTTATGCAGTACCAAGATTTATTAAGTCCATGCATGTGATTATACAATTATTAAAGCATATAGATTTACAAAGACTGCTACAAGTACCTACAAGTGAGGTTTCCCATATTACATGGATCGATAATTATGGAACCTACTCAAATATATTTCGTATTACGTCACTCATAATTGTGTAAACTATTCACACGACTTCGATATTCACAGACCAATAATTTTAGGTCCTAATCAGAGATATTCGAGATTAGGCAAATTAATTATTTTTGTGTCCTAATTACAGCTTTCTATATCACTATACTGTTAGTTCAATGACCTAATAATAGATTTTTCCATATAATTCAGACTAGTAATCTTATGACTTATCAAATTTTCGATATCACCTAGACTATTAATTATATGACTGAATCACATGTTTTCCGTATTGCACAGATTGATAATTTTATGCTCTATCCATAGATCTTCCATATCATCCAGAGCAATGATTGTATAACTTAATAACAGATTTTCCACATGACATAAATTGATAACTGTATGACACAGTAACGTTTTTCATATTACCAAGACTGGTAATTTTGTTACCTAATTAAATCATATTACACAGAATAACACTCTTGAAAACCCTAAGAAAATAAATAAGGAATGTAATATAATAGGCCTAATACTAATGTCTTATGACAAGATCGAAGTTCTATGACCGAATAATAGATTGTCCATATTACGTAAACTAATGACCTAATTAATCATATGTTTCTATTTTTACAGAAAGTAATAACTGTAAGATCTAATATTTGATTTTCAATATTACGCAGACTGTTAACTGCATCACCAAATCACAGAGTGATAATTATATATCCGAGTCACAAATTTTCCACATCACGCAGACTGGTATCTTTACTGTCTAGTTACATATTTTCCATATTGAACAGGTATTTTCCTTATTACAGAGACTCATAACGTACGACTGTATTACGAATTTTCTATATTATGCAGAATGTTATTCGCATAACCTAATCACATATTTTCTATATCAAGCAGAGTAATAAATTAATAGTTAATCACAGATTCTTAGTCTTAAAATAAATCTCTTGATTAGACCTATCTACAATTCAATTAAACAGGACTGCTTAAAAGAGATAAAAGAACAGAATAGAAAACATTAAACATTAAAAGCAATATCTATTTTTTTAACTTAACTTTTACTTACAGAAAGCTTGAATGAAATTGTTTCACCGAAGAAATAGATTAATGCATAGCAGATCACGTAACTTACGTTATAACAAATAATACGTTCCTTCTTTAGTTCACCAGTTAGGTCTAGGTACTTATTTATCCTCTTGTCAGACAACGCGTTTTACGTCACAACTAACCTTTTACCAAGAAGTAAAGAAGCTTTATAAAATTTTCAATTGAACTGTTTTAATAACTGTTTTTCATTACAACCAGCATTACGATATTGTAGTGCAGGGTTGTTACAGGAATAAATGAAAATCTGTGCTAAAATATGAAGTCCTAATGACTTAAATATAAAGTAGGAAATATCATTCACTAAAGTTGTAACACATTCATAATCATTTAATATCATTCATTACATATTAAGTACATGCATAATTCAATATCGTTCTCTAATTATGTAGTACATGCATAATTCAATATCGTTCCCTAATTTTATAGTGCATACATGATCATTTATATCACCCAATGAATTTATAGTTCCCGCATGAACATTAGTATCATTCACTAAATTTGTAGTACATGAATTGACATTAATGTCATTCACTAATCTATAGTACATCGATGATAACTCAATATCATTCATTAGATATTTAATACATGCATGATAATTTAATATAATTCCCTAATTTCATAGTACATGTATGTTCATTTAATATTATTCATTAATTCTGTTGTACATACAGGATAATTTTTTTGAATTTATGGCATGTTTAAGATATCACTTGAATAATAAACAGGACGAAGCTAAGCATAATAATTTTTACATCTACTTATACATAAAACATAAATACCAGATTCTACAATATCCCAGGCTATCCTTTCTTCGTCAAGCGGAGATATGGCTCGTTTACCCCAAAGACCTTTCAGGTTGTTCCATTTACTGCTTCTTTTCCCCCACATTCCTGACAGGTTATTCCATCCTCGCTTACCCCACATTCCAGACAAGTTGTTCCATCCAGAGCTTCGTTTTCCCAATATTTCTGATAGATTGTTCCACCCTCGCTTGCCCCACATTCCGGACAAGTCGTTCCAGCTAGAGCCTCGTTTGCCCCACATCCCTGATAAGTTGTTCCAACCTCGTTTGCCCCACATTCCGGAAAGGTTATTCCAACCTCTTTTATCACCAGCTTCGTTTTCCACATTTGCTAGTGCATCGTCTAGTGTCATGTCGGTGTCTGTCGGTTTGGATTGAATTTGTATAACGACGTGAAATATAAACAAAATACAAAATCCATACGTAGGAAACTTCATTCTGGTTCTAAAATAGAAAACAAAACAATTATACAGTTCTGTGACATTGGGATGGTTTGATGCCAAATACAATTCCACATTTCGCAAATATATATAAGAAATATTTAGAAATTTTGTTAATAGAAGCTTTCTTTTAAAAATAAGAAATCTCTTTGTGATAAAAACCGTTACTGATTATTTATAAATTGGTTGATGGTAAATAAATCAACGGTAAATAAAAAACACGAAAAAAAGGAGATTTTGTTATTTAACGTTAACTGTAGAATAAAAATAACAAGTAGATTTGTGTGTGTGCGTCCAAGTACGTCGTTATATGTATTCGTTATGAGGAACATGTGATTATTTATACAAATTATAAATACAAATGTAAGTTATATAAGTTCAGATATATAACGGTAGCCCAAAATTCATATAAAACTATCATGTACGTGTCTTCACCTGAAGTGATAATATTAGAAAAATATTTACTGTAACATAAACTTTATCAGTACCCTACGCATTGTGAACTAAGGCTTAATACACAGACAATAGCAGTTATAATTTCAAATGCTTAAGCTTTTCGAAACAAAATTATAGTGTTTTAGGGTAGACACGATAGAAGTTTACTCGACAAAAAGCTAATGTCTGTTTTTGTTTTGAGGGTTAAGAGGCAAGATTGCTGTTACCTTCTTCATCTCAAAGTATGAAGCACCAATTCATCTATGGTACTAAATGATACATTTCCATTGATGTTTGCCCTCTTATAGGTCAGCTTAAGTTTACGAACTTATAACCCTAAATGGCAAAGCTCTCTTCCTCGCTGTGGACAGAGAACAAATAGTCCATTGTGTTGCTTAATTAACTTGCTCTGGAAAATCTTGATTAGAAGTCGCCATAGAATAGTTATTTTAACTGTATTCCTGTCAATAAAAGTATTAAACTGAGCTCCATAAAAAGTACATGATCGCTTCTTTGTTAAAGATATGTGTGTACTGCTATCTACGTGACATATTTTCGGTAAAACTCTATGTATTTCCTTTTTTGACAAAGAAAAAAAAATATTATGACCTAAACCAGGTTGTCCTTTTAAACATAGTGCTTGATAAGAGTGATGTCACATCAACATAAATATGTTAGCTTTGCTTCTAAATCTGAAAAAGCTGTTACCAACTCGAATGAACAGATTTTGTATCCATCAGAACACAATAGCTTTCAGACCCAAATCTAATTTTGGCGGGATCTTTCACGCCAAATGGATACCTTTTGCGTTACGATATGAGACGTATATCAGAACAAAGAAGAAAGGGTTCCTCTCTGTAGGACAGTAATTAGATATTTCTGGTAAAACATTAAAGAAAGAAAGATTGTTTTTCCTCTTTAGATCTAATACGCGAACTGAAATTTTGAGAAGCCACCAACACTTTGAAAACTACTAAATGTATTATGAAGTATGGACCATGAAGTCACTTAAACTTATACTTGCTCTAAAAGTTTCAAACTCTTTAATATATATGTAAATTGTTGTTTTATGCTTTGAAAGCATTTAAACTTGAAAATCCCACCTTGTATAACTTAATGCTTAACAGTATTTTCAAGATCTTACGATATCATTCACTTGACACCCATGTCGGATGTAAATTTGGTAGCTTAAATCAGCTTTCGGGAAATACTGTGTGAACTATTCCGTTTTGTGATCTCACATGCTTTTCTTACTTAAATAAACTTCATGTTTTTAATTTGAGAGGTAATATGCGTTTGAAAAAAAAAATCATGTTATGAGTATCGTGGAATTAACAGTGATGTATAATTTTTTCAAATACATTAGACTGCATAGAGTACACATTTAAATCATTACTTATAATTCATGCTTGCAAAGGATAAAACGGTATTTATTTTATTAAAGTGTTTCCGGTGTTTGATTAACACAAACGATACTAAGTTATTTCTTTATTAACGTATTTCCATGTTTGGTTAATGCAAACGATGCTATGAAACTGTTTACCGAGCATTTATAATAACATTGCGAGGGATATTTATCACGTTAAACTTTCTGTGTATACTTTAAATGTCAACATCGTGTGCTAACAGCAGTTTTCGTATATAAACAGAAGAGAATATAAAATAAAGCTTTTTCTAGTAATCATAAAAGGAGGAAAAGGTTGATTGGATATCCTAATGTTAAAATATCAAGGGTGAAGCTTCTTATACGTGCTTGTATACTTTCTGTTTACTTACCCAGATTATACCTTATGTAAAATACCTGAGCACGTGCCATTGATCCGTGGGTATGGTGTATTGATCAATGTTCATTATATTTTACTAGTTTTCTATGCATTGCGTGAAAGTACGTCATAATATTTTTCTATATAATGATATGCATTATTTAAAAAATAACATTATAACGGTAAATGTTGGAAGCCTTTGACATTGTTAATGCATATATATGGGTTTGTGTCATTAAATAGAAAATGTCGTTTATTACTGTTGTTGAATGAGCAGGGATTTTTCCTCTTCGAAACGTAAACGTCCTTATATTTATGATTCTTTTAGCTAATTCCATTTATTATTTATTTCATCGACTAAATATTTATGTTTAATTATAAATTAAGTAGATGTGCAGTTTAAAATAAATTTTGAGTGGCAAATTATCTACCCAGCTCTGCCCTTGGTGAAAGCCCCATAGATTCGCTGAAAGTCTATTAGTAAAAGTGAACTCTCAGTCCTTAATGAGCTTTATTTTTGAAGCTCTTATAATGCACTTTAAATATCTTACCTTAAAAGTTTTGAAGGTTATTTGAAGGAGACTGTACTCCTCCGTCTTTTTTTCTCCTGAAAAAACATGGAAAACACGCATAGATTTGCTAAAAATTTGCAAAATCTCTGCGACGATTTTCAGTAGCCTTCATTCTCCAAGAAAATTGTTGTAAGACAGGGGAAGTGGATCTGAAGTGAAGAGGGGTAACAATTCAAACTTCTGGTTTATACTAGGGTTAGAAAAAGCGCTTAAGCCTCAATTAGAGAAGGATTTCATAATTAAAATATTTTCTAGGATATTTCTTACTTCCTTTGATGTAGAACATAGTTTTCAGTAGAAGCAAAATTCAAGAATATTATTCAATTTAATGCATTAAATGTACCAAATTCCGACAGTAGAAATCCTGACTACATCTTTACTGTGAAATGGGCTGCTTTGAACAAGATTTAACGCAATAGCTTTATTATTTCTGCCAAGTTTTTCAACTCAACTGCTACACTTCTTCACTTCAGATCCACTTCCCCTGTCTTACAACAATTGTATTGGAGAATGAAAGCTACTGAAAATCCTCTCAGAAAATTTGCTCATTTTAAAAAAAAATTGCGTGTTTTCTACGTTTTCAAGAGAAAATAACCTTCAAAACTTTTAAGGCAAGATGCTTAACACATCACAAGAGCTTTAAAAATAAAGTTCATTATAGACCGAGGGCTCACTTTTACTAATAGACTTTCCGCTGATATGTTGGGCTTTCACCAAGAACAAAGTTAGGTAGGTAATTTGCCGTTCAGAAAATTAGTCAAATTGCACAGCTACTTAATTGATATAATTGAGAATGACTAATAACGAATAATTTAATTTCGTTGGTGCAAAATGTTAACTTGTTTTCTAAAGACGCACACACACGTATATGTATATAAAAGCTAATTTTAACTAAACGCAAAATGAAACTAAATTGTTATTCTCTACTGTCACCATGAAAGTATTAAACTCTAGTGTCACCGTGAGAGTAATAAACTCTAGTGTCACCGTGAGAGTACTAAACTCTTGCGCCACCGTGAAAGTACCAAACTCTAGTGTTACTATGAAAGTACTAAACTCTGGTGTCACCGTAAGAGTACTAAACTCTAGTGCTACTATGAGAGTTCTATGCTCTAGCGTCACAGTGAAAGTACTAAGCTCTAGTGTCGCCATGAAAATACTAAACTGTAGTGTTACTATGAGAGTTCTGTATTCTAGTGTCACCATGAGGGTACTAAACTCTAGTGGCACCGTGAGAGTATTAACCTCTAGTATCACCGTGAGTATACTAAACTCTAGTGTCATTACGAAAGTAATAAACTCTAGTGTCACCGTGAGAGTACTAAACTCTTGCGCCACCCTGAAAGTACTAAACTCTAGTGTCGCCATGAAAGTACTAAACTCTAATGTCACCATGAAAGTACTAAACTCTAGTGTCACCGTGAGAGTGACTATTAGAATTCTATACTCTAGTGGCACCATGAAAGTAATAAACTCTAGTGTCATCGTGAGAGTATTAAACTCTAGTGACACCGTGAAAGTACTAAACTCTAGTGTTACTGTGAGAGTAATAAACTCTAGTGTCATCGTGAGAGTAATAAACTCTAGTGTCATCGTGAGAGTAATAAACTCTAGTGAAATCGTGAAAGTACTAAACTCTAGTGTTACTGTGAGAGTAATAAACTCTAGTGTCATCGTGAGAGTAATAAACTCTAGTGAAATCGTGAAAGTACTAAACTCTAGTGTCGCAATGAAAGTACTAAACTCTAGTGTCACCGTAACATTACTAAACTCTAGTGTTACTATGAAAGTTATATACTCTGGTGTTACTATGAAAGTACTAAACTCTGGTGTCACCGTAAGAGTACTAAGTTCTAGTGTTACCATGAGAGTTATATACTCTAGTGTTACTATGAAAGTACTAAACTCTGGTGTCACCGTAAGAGTACTAAACTCTAGTGTTACTATGAGAGCTCTATACTTTAGTGTTATTACGAAAGTAATAAACTCTAGTGTCACCATGAAAGTACTAAACTCTAGTGTCACCGTAACATTACTAAACTCTAGTGTTACTATGAGAGTTATATACTCTAGTGTTACTATGAAAGTACTAAACTCTGGTGTCACCGTAAGAGTACTAAATTCTAGTGTTACCATGAGAGTTATATACTCTAGTGTTACTATGAAAGTACTAAACTCTAGTGTTACTATGAGAGTTATATACTCTAGTGTTACTATGAAAGTACTGAACTCTGGTGTCACCATGAGGGTACTAAACTCTGGTGTCGCCGTAAGAGTACTAAACTCTAGTGTTACTATGAGAGTTCTATACTTTAGTGTTACTATGATAGTTCTATACTCTAGTATTACTATGAAAGTACCAAACTCTAGTGTCACCGTAAGAGTACTAAACTCAAGGGTTACAATGAGAGTTCTATACTTTAGTGTTACTATGATAGTTCTATACTCTAGTATTACTATGAAAGTACTAAACTCTAGTGTCACCGTAAGAGTATTAAACTCAAGGGTTACAATGAGAGTTCTATACTCTAGTGTTACCCTAAGAGTACGATGACATCCAGTAATTTCACAGCATAGATTATAACCGGTTCACATACCAGTTAACAAGCTTTATCCTTACGATGAATAACTGCGAAGTTCTTCAACTTTATCTACGAAGTGATAAAACAGAGACAAGGTTGACTTATTTAAACATTTTATATACGTATTCAGAGATAGATTAAGTCTGAATAATTACTTCTTTTTTATATATAGTTAAACAAATGAAATGTTTCACTGTAAGGAAAAATGCTTTTTTATTGACAGAGATTTGTGTAATTCACTGTTCAACGCTGTGTTATCCACTACAAACATAAGTTATCAGTTCTATTCTTTAGTAAATTGTTAAAGTTTATTCTTCTCTCAGAATTTGATTAGGGTTAATAACAACAATTTTAAATTGCAACAATGCGAACTGTCTTTTATAGCTATTGTCTTTCAAACTTTGAATATGAGATGATTATACTTCTGAACGCTATAACTTGGAAACTGACAATAAGGAGTAATTTAAATCTGATAGCTGGACGTTTCTATGTCGTTCCAAAGTATGTTTGTTTGTTTGTTTTGAATTTCGCGCAAAGCAACACGAGGGCTATCTGCGCTAGCCGTCCCTAATTTAGTAGTGTAAGACTAGAAGGAAGGCAGCTAGACATCACCCAACTCTTGGGCTACTCTTTTACCAACGAATAGTGGGATTGACCGTCACATTATAACGCCCCCACGGCTGAAAGGGCGAGCATGTTTGGTGTGACGGGGATTCGAACCCGCGACCCTCAGATTGCGAGTCGAGAGCCCTAACCACCTGGCCATGCCGGGCCTTCCAAAGTATGCTGTTCATTAAGTCAAGGACCTCCCATAAATGTTGAAGTGAAAATTGTCTTCCTGTTATGGAAAATAAGGTTATACAGTGTCAAATAACTTATTCATGTCCTAGTGTCCTAGTGGTTATCCTATCAGGCTGCGAATCGGAATGGTTCGGGCTTCGAAATATGACACCTGTGAACACGCTCTACACTTTCAGTTGTGGGTGTGTTATAAAAGAGACAGTCAATCCCGCCAATCGAATTAAAGAACTGGTCAAAATCCTTGTGGCAGCGTGTGCTGCTAGTTGATTGCCTTCCTCTGGTCATTATTTCCAAATCAGCAACAGCCATTTTTGAATCCTAGGAATATCTGATCTGTCGGTTAAGCCCACGTGCTCATAACGTGATTTCAGATTGAAAAGTTCGAGTTCCATTACCTATTATTTGTTTTGCAAAAACTGTAAACTGAAACAGAACACTGGTAAATTTTTATATTTTATTAAAACTATTTATTTGCAATAAAATTGGAAAATTGGATGTATTAGTCATAGCAATATCCGTCAAACGATAAAAAAAACAGCTAAAATTACCTTTTAACGATAACTTAGTGCTAGGACCTTCGAATACTACAACTTTTGTCTTTATCAGTGTTGTCTTTCAAAAAGAAAATCATCATTTAATCATCATCTATCTGATAGAAGATCTGTTTTCGGTGCTACACTAGACAATATACACGAGAACATGTTTAAAAGTCATGTTTATCCTAATCTTAGTTACAAACGCAACGTTGGAAGGTGTGATGTCATGAAATGCAAGCGTTGTGGATGCAGTCATGATGGAATTCCTGTTGAAGTTAATAATCAGGAACAAAGGTAATTCGTAAATGATAGAAGCCAATGAAAACAGGACAAGGAACGCGAATGACAAGGGATAGAATGAAATAATTAGATCGCCCAATGGAACGCTAAAATCCGGGATTCGATTCCATGTGGTAGACACAGCTCTAAAACAGACAGCAACAGTAAGGTACTTTGGTTTTTCATTGTAACTTGTTTTGTCCCCAGTGGATCAGCGGTAAGTCAGTGGGTTTACAACATTGAAAATCGGGTTTCGATACCCGTAGTGAGCACAGCACAGGTAGCCCATTGTAGCTATGTGCTTAACAACAAAGAAAAAAGTAATTATTTCATTGTCCGAAATCGTTCAGTGACTGATAGATATACACTGAGTGGTCACAAGTAAATAGACACCTAAATTTTCGTCATTAACTGATTTATACTAACTAAATTAGTTGTTCTACAGAACAACTAATATAAAT